GACACCTTTATTTTAATCTCTCTTCTATTTCTCTTATTTTCTATGGCTTTACTATAATCTTTAAATATTATCACCGTACAGCTGGACCTATGGACCCATGATGTTTGTCAGGGGCTGGTTTACCCTGACACTTACTTGTGTTTTATTGACTATAAAAAGTCATTAGTCTGTGGAGATGATAACAAATGATGAGTAGCTGTGTGAAGAATAGGAATTCTAGAACCCTTCACTGTGATCACAAGAAACCTGTTCATGACCAATGCAGTCATTCCGACAGGGCACGGGACTACTGTATGGTTTAAAATCAGGAAAGGTGTGCATCAGGATTGTATCCTTTCACCATATTTATCGAATCGGTATACTGAGTAAGTCATCTGATAAACTGGACTATAAGAAGAACATGGTATCAGGATCAGAGGAAGGCTCATTAACAACCTTTGATGTATAGATGACCCAAACTTGCTTACTGAAAGTGAACAGGACTGGAAGCACATGCTGATGAAGATCAAGGACTGAGAAACGCTCAATATGGATTGCAACCTGATGTAAAGAAAACCAATAGATAAATTCATGAGAAGCAAAGAAAAGATTGAAATTGTCAAGGATTCCATCATCTTGCTTGGATCCACAATCAATGCTTATGGAAGCAACAGTCAAGAAATGAAACGATGTATTGCATTGGACAAATCTACTGCACAAGACCTCTTTCAAATGTTATGGAACAAGGATGTCACAATTGAAAATGGATATTGAATAAGGAAGATCAAAGAAGATTTTTTTTAATCACCTTACAGCTGTCAAGTCAATTCTGACTCATAGCAACCCTTTAGGGCAGGGTAGAACTTCCCCTTGGGTTTCCAAGACTGTTACTCTTTATGGAATCAGAAAACCTCATTTTTCTCCCCCAATACAACTGGAGGTTCAAAACTACTAACCTTAAAGTAAGCAGCCCAACATATAACTCAACATATAACTACACCAAGGTTCTGTGAAGAAGAGCAGATGCCATTGAATTATGGTGTTGGTTAATAGTACTGAAAGTCCTGTGGACGGCTGGAAGAAGAAACAAATGTGTCTTGAAATAAGTATAGTCAGAATTTTCCTTTTTCCTTAGAAGGGAGGGCGATGAGACTACATCTCAGGTACTTGGGGCATGTCAGGAGACATCAGTCCTTAGAAAAGGACATGATGGTGGATGAACTATAAGGGCAGTGAGAAAGAAGAAAACCCTCAACCAGATGAACTGACACAGTGCCTGCACAATGGGGTCACACATAACACCCCTTGTAAAGATGGTGAGGGACGGGGTCCTGTTTCCCTGTGCTGTACATCGGGTCACTATGAGTTGGAACTGACTTGAAGGCACCTAAGAGCCTGATATAATTTAGAAGAAGGTGATCGTTCTCTCCAGGACATGGCTGAAAGTTTCCAAGTGGTTTTGAATTTTGACCTGCAGGAAAAGGGAAAGAAATTTCCAACCCAAGAGCTGGAAAGGAAAAGATCGGTTCTTCCATTTGTTTCATACATATTTATCCAGCACCTACCATGTGCCAGGTGGTATTGGAGGATTGGGGATTAAAGAAAGAACAAAAGAAACTTGGCCTCTGCCCTTTGGAATTTGTTGGAAAGGTGCTCTGTGGAGGATAGTATGTGGAAGAGAGTCAATATTGGAAAGTGAAGCTTGTACGGTAAAATGAGATCAGATTGTGGAAATATTTGAACACTCTCTAGGAATGTGTTCATTAATCCAGTAGACAAATGGGAAACCACTGCAGGTCATTGAACAAGAGAAGGCCCTGGCTAGAGTTTTCATGTAGGAAGATGAATCTAGAAGCTGGCTGTGTGTTGGAGTGGGAGGAAATCAGAGACTGGAACAGGGACAACCAGCAAAGCTCAGACAAGATATCCTGTGGCCTGAATCTGTGTAATACCAAACCAGTACACACATTCATGATGGTCTACTGAGATCACACCATGTGCCAACAGCAACCGAAAATCTCAAAATTGATAGACACCTGATCGTGGATCAGCCTGGGAAATGTTTCCAAAATATCTATGTGTTAGACAGGGTTCTCTAGAGAGATAAAACCAAATTGCTGATAATTTAATATATTTATTTATAAAGATAATTAGATATATAACAAAAAATGAACTGTTAAATCATATACAGATAAATATATAA